GATTTCTGGTCTATTTCCCAGCCTATCCTCGTGTAGGGAAAATTCAGCCCGTGCACGTTGTTTTGCATTCGAGCCTGCTTGGTTCCCGGGTGCGCACTGCGCATGGAAAGTCCCGCATCCGCGTGCAGTGTCACGGTGCTCTTTTCGGGCGTAGCTATTTTGACGCGGTCCTGCCGCGCCCACCTGGGTTGCCCTATTAATAAGCCTTATTATACTTGGCAGTTACGTGTCTCGCCAACTATAATTAGGCTTGGTTTCATCAAATCCCTACACCAGCGTTAAATAGTGCCCCAGCTCCTCAAAATACCTTCAAAAAAACTATGTACACCTCACTATGGTGGGCGCGCGCGCGCATAGGCTATATTCGGTAAGCATCCCGCCCCGCCTTAATTGCGTCATATTCCTATTTTAATTCGGCACGCTCGGCAATGCCTACTACGTAGTGGTGCCGAAGTCCGGTTCGGTTCGGTTCTTAGGCCTCTAAATGCGAACGCCGAACTGGACCATCGGTCGCGTTCAGGCAAGGAGGGCGAACGCTGGACCGGACCCTTATGAACGCGTTCACAAGCGTTCGGTTCAAGTTCAGAACGCGTTCGAACACTCGAACGCTACATATAATTTGACAAAAATTGCAAGAAATACATGAACCGTAAATGAGTAGCTAAATTTCGTCCATGGCATAGTGTTCGTGAGCAGCAGCAAACTCAGCTTGAACCGTTGCAGAAATGTGGCCTTGACGGTACCCACTCTTCAATAACTGAAGGGCCTCGAATGTTGTTGGCAACAAACGATTACGGCGCGCAGTCCCAGTGATGCCGCCACTCGAAAAGGCTCGTTCAGATGCAACGGCAGAGCCTTGAATAGCGAGGTAATCCTTTGCAATGCGTGAGATGGTGGGATATTGAACGGAATGGTGCTAAAGGCATAATGAGTCAACTTGCAAGGAAATGCGATGCGAAAAAACTCACACCCCACCACGCCACTATATTCTCAACATCCTCTAATGGGGCAGCAAGGTAGTCGTCAAGCTCCTGGCGAGGTCTTCGATTTGCGGTGTCATTTGCGACACGAGTTTTGACAGCATCGCGCATCCAGCTATGGCCGTATGACCCATGGCGAGCAAGCGAGGCAGGAGCTGCAATAGACGGCTCTGCAGCAGCGGGCGAGGAGTTGTGATGATAATATTTGTCAAAAACCTTCCGCAAGCTTCTCATGCCCTCGTCGAAGTCGTGAGGCTCCCATTTACCCTTCGCATATGCCACCTTATAGTTAGGATGGAGGTGGAGGAAGCATGGGCGTGTCATCGTCAGGATCATTGTACCAATCGATGGCACTAGCATCCTTGAGTTGGCCGTCAGATCCAAGTGCGCACGACATTTGTGCAGCAAGGAGGGTGAAGATTGAACCTGTAGTAAGTAGCTCATTTATTCCAAATTTTATGATAAGAGATCAAAAAAATGACGCACCTTGAACATCCTGTTGCCATGCAATTACTTGGTGTTGAAGCTTGAAGTACCAGAACGAGAAACCTGAGAATATGTTCTGAAAATAAAGACCATTGAAGTCTGAATAAAGATTAACATTTGTTTAACATTAGGCTTACCAGAACATCGAGTAGATTACCAGGGAAGTCAGATCTCGCCAATGGAAATGTGTTGGGTGTTTTGGCTGTGAAGTCCGATCCGCTATTGATTGTCCCGAGATCGATCGACATGCCGGTTGCCAGAAGATCAGAGCAGATATATTGGTGGATCATGCAAAGAATATGAGAACACGTTCAGACGGGTTCGAACGGGTTCGAACGGGTTCACAGTATTCAGGCAGCAGCCGAACGCTGAACTTAATAATCAGTTCGGTCCTTATACTATTTCGAACCCAGGACCGAACCCACGGTCCGGTCCGGGAGGGTTCAGGTCCGAACCGAAGTTCAGAACCGGACTGCGGCATCACTACTACTACGCTTCCTAATTCGAACCAAGGGGCCCTTCTCACGCTTCCTAGCTCTCCTCATCACTGTGCTCATCGTCCCTGCCGTTCCCTGCCTCCATCGTGCCCCCATTGTTCCGCCTTTGTCGTCGTCGTCGTCAACCTCCTTCGTTCCTGCTGTTTCCCACCTCCCTCGTGCCTTCTCAACCTCCTTCGTACCTTCGTCGTCGTCGTCGTCCGTACCTGCCGTTTCCCAACTCCCTCGTGCTTTCGTCGTTGCCCTCCTTCGTATCTGCCGTTTCCCGCCTCCCTCGTGCCTTCGTCGCCCCAACCCAGTAATGCCTCGTGCCTCAGGTGTCAGGAGGGTCAAAGGGCTCTCGAAATCCATCATTTCCCATGGTTTTAGAGGGGGTCATCGCTATTCCAAAGTCCTGGCAGCCGGCAAACAAAGCCAGCGTATGGCAGAGGCAGATTCCAGCCGCCAGGCTGCTATACAAGGTATGTACTATTTTCTTTTTTTATCATTAACACTTATTGTTGTATTAGAAATGTCATCAGAGGACCGAAGCCGCGTCGAAAATATGATGGCAGATTTTGGAATGGACGTGGAGGTGTTCACCCATACAGTGCCTCCAGGTGAAGAGGCCTTTGACCTCAGTCACGCAGGTGGGGAGCATGAGGCATTTGAAGACCTTGCTCATCAACTGGCGGATCTAACTGGATAGTACGTATTCACCACTGTGTACAACTCTTCAAATATTAACACCCATTGTAGTCATCACATTGATCCACGAATTCGGGGAGAACGCATCGACACTCAAACCGCTCATTGGGGCCTTCAGATAGATCGTCTCGTTGACGCCTACTTAAACTATCGCAGTCGAGATTCCGGGGACGGTATGCCTGATATTTCAGATCAGGTCCTGTCAGGTGTCGATGCTTCATTCTCAATTAATGAGATTGAACTCATTGATACATTCAGTAAGTCTGAAACGTTCCTTGATATCTTGTACTTATTTTTTCTTTGCAGCACGAAGGCGCTCGCATCTACGACCATTATCGTCTCATCAATACCCGAATGAAACCCTCATCTACTATGGGTACATCGGGTGTGCCCCGATGTATCCTTCTGTTGCCATCTCGCTTCGTACACTCGCTGCCTACCGTCAGTCGCACCGAACGTGTCCCCGGTTCAGTATCCAATCACAATGCAAGACTTTATGTTACCTTCACGATGTACGTACATTCCTCACATTGAGGTTCGTTTATTTACGTTGAGTTTGTAGATTCCATATCGGCCATACTTAAAAATGCAATTCTCGGCAGCCTATGACGTTTTTCTAGAAATCCTCCATCGCATCAACCAGCGTCTGCGTCAGGCGCTCAAACGGGATACCGTCAACTGGCGTATGTTAAACACATGCCCTGCATGCTTTTACAAGCTCGACGATGAACCTGCCCTCGATTTTGAATGGCTGGTATCAATTGATGGTAACAATAGCCTGAAGCGATGGGACTCGTCCATCTATGGTACCACCGCCCGATCTGATTCTCGCACAGCTCGTTCGGATTATTGGATTCATGCTGACGCTGTTGACAAGTTTGAGAATGAAGTCAAATCCCGACAAGTAAGTGTTTACTATGTATACAACTATGTTCTAACATTATCTTTTAGACAGACTTGAGGAATGATGACGACTGGGAGGATGAGCCTACAGACCCGGATCATCCGGGAGCATTCACATGCGTCAATCGATGGAGAAACGCTGGCCCAGACTCACGTAAGAAGATGTTTGCCGTATTCCAAGAGTCAGGTATTTTTATCGCTTCATGCCGCCATCGCTTTGTGCTTCTCGCGTGTGATATGATCCGAAGCGGAGAACTGTAAGACCGCATTTTGATCTAATTTTTATATTACTAATGTATTCTGGCAGTGCGAAATATCCGATAGCGATCATCGACAAACTCCTTACGGTATATGGAAAAAATGGAGGTTGCGTGTACGATATCGGTTGCGCATTCTCGAAGACGTTAGCTAATAGTACGTTGGGCCCTCGTGCACACGATCTCGGCTTTCGGATGATGGTTGGCGCCTTCCATGGCCATGCGCACAATCGAAGGTGTCAGCTTGACTGGCACCCAATGTATATCTCTGGAACTGGCCATACTGAGGGCGAGGGTTGTGAGCATATCTTCTCTGCATCTAACGAGCTTGCGCGTAGCACAAGGCATGCTAACCGTTTTCATCGCCACCAAGCCATCGAGGAACATTTCGCTTTTTGGGATGCCGATGTAGAAACAACAATACAATGAGGAACAAAAGAAGCTCCTGACTGTATCTGTAAAAGTTGTAAGGTCGCGCGCTGCCTAGTCTGCGTTACTTGAGAAGCAAGTGCGTTCGACCCTATAGGGGAAGTGAGTGCAGCAAGGATCTAGAAGTGTGCGCTTAAGCGAAGCGCGAGAAAGCGCAGGAGCGCGCAAGGCGCAAAGGCGCGGGAACGCGCGCGCGTATTAGCGCGAAGCGCGGGAAAGCGCGCGTGTGTAAGCGGAAATAAGAGAGACTAAACTTATGTGAAGATATAAGCAAGATAAAGGATGTGAGATGTGTTGTGCTAATGAATAGATTTCTACTGCGACTTTCTAAGTAGTAAGTACTAGGTAAAGTTGGGTGAAAAGTAAGGTAAATAATAGTATGTACTGCTGGCGCTTATATAGCGCGCCTAAGCGCGCTCATGCGGAGCCGAAGCGCTACCGAGTAGGTATGTAAAAATATATATGAGTGAGAAACTATGATAAAAATAAAGGTGGAACTATGCTAATAAAGGAAATGGAAATATACGTACTAGGGAGCTTGGTGGACAGTGGATGGATGCATCTGGATGGCTGGCGCTATAGGGCGCGCAAGCGCGGGAACGCGTGCGCGCGTATACATCGTGAAGCGCGGGAATGGTGCGCGCATGGCGCGCGTTGCGCGGGAAAGCTGCGCGTCATATAGGAATCACTGTGGATGGTACACAGAGTGATGCTGCGAGTTGGTGCTGTATACTCCCTAGTGTAAAGCGCCATATCACACTATGAGATGCACGAGTCTCTACACCGATAAGTATGCTGCACTTAGTAAGTCAAAAAATCAAGCTGTAATTGTAATACTGATGCCGCAGTGTCAGGTAATTATTTGTGGACTCATTATCGCGAAGCGTTGAAATCTGTTCGGTTGCTGACAGCCGAGCTAGAAACTATCAAGGCCGAGCTACGCCTTAGCGACAACGACTTCCCTGGATTCTTTGATCAGGAACGCATATATCTGGATGGTCTGAAGCAGCCAGCTCCACGAGATCGACTCTCTATACGTTACGTTGAAGTACTAGACGAACTCGCTGAAAGAAGGTATCGTGCCATCGACTACTAACTACCACCCATCCCCTGATATGAATTTTAATAGAGCTGAATGGGATCTCGCCCGTGAATCTGGCAATAACGCTCTTAATGGAGTACATATTGGCAGCTTGGAACAGATGCATGACGCCCTGAAGCAAGCTCGCATCCGAGTTAATTCTTCATACGCCAAATTACAGCATGCCGAGGGGCTTGTTGCTCATTGCGAAACACTCTTATCTGTCGATGAGAGATGGTTGATTGGCGGTGACGAATACAAACGTTTCAAGGAGGAAGCAACACTCGGCAAGTATCATACTGCATTGGATGAACTCGAACATTTGGTCGTCATGAGATTGTTTGAACTCTCAAAGCTCTCGTTATCGGGCACAGGTTTGAGATTTCCACTACTAGTAAGCGCTTGTACTATGACTGATTCGTTTACAAATTGTTTAGGATACAAACTACGTCAACAGATTAGTAAAGCTTTACAGCGGCGCTCGGACACTATTCGCAACGCGATCAATCGCTACAATATCCAGGCTGCTTCCCTCATCCCACCGAGACAAACGATCACATGGAAAGACATTGCCGAATACAGTTTCCTTGGCGAGTTTGACCTTCTGCGTGACTCTCGTACTGACATCTAAGACAAGGATTGGGCAAGGCCAGCTCACCGTGAGGCGACTACAAAGTACTTCAAGCTCTGCCGAGCTCGCGAAGAAATTATTCGACTCAATATTGAAATTCGCCGGCTCCGAACTGCTATCCACGATGAAACCATTGACACGTCTGCCGTTATCGACGAACTTCTTGTAGCTAACCCTTTGCTTGCTGCCGAGTTGAAACGCCAGTGGCGCTCACGGGCGGCTATCAACGCTGTGCACACATATCGGTTAGATCAGATTGAGAGACTATTTGGATTCTCTGGTATTAGTGGCATTGGAACTCGCCTTGCGAATCCTGCGTTCAGCAGACCAGTCAATACCAACGGTGCTAGTTCCGGTGAGTGTGGATCTTTAACTACCTATATCGCATTAATTCTCGCCACAGCACAAGCAGAGAATCCTGATTCTTCTGCGTCGGAATTCCATGATATTGAAGCCCTTGACCGTGAAGAGCACGAAGTGGTCACCGAAGACATGGCTGATTTTTGTACTCAATAAACGACTGACACCATCTCTGCTTTGTAATTGTTTTTTTTCATGTACCGCATAGGACTACATATATGAGAAGTTTTCTGGTTTGATCGGTGATATAAGAAAGAGTAGGTAGACGATTGTATAAGTGATTGTGTGGGTGATATAAGAAAGAATTGAACAACTTGAATACCTATGATGTTCGGATAGGTTAGTTGGCGACCCCGAGCTTTCTGCATGGTGACCTCGTCGCGATTCCTTGATCCAACTTGAATGTCGATGATGTTTGGATAGGTGAGTTGGCGATCTCACCTTGATCCAACTTGAATGCCGATGATGTTCGGATAGGTGGACCAACTTGAATGCCGATGATGTTTGGATAGGTTAGTTGGCAATCTCAAGCTTTCTCCTGTGGTGACCTCATCACGATGATATTCAGATAGGCTAGTTTGGCGACCCCTGGTAGGCTTTCTTGAATGTTAGGGAGACTCTTTGCCTGACTCGGAGGATTATGCGGCTATCTGAAGTGTCATGCCGTTCATAGCATAGTCCTTTGTCATTCCTGTATGAATATGCATTGTATACTATTTTGTACTATGTAGTTGTGTGATATCCGATCTTGCAAAGTGAGCTCACGTGCTGTATTGAGTGTCAAATCACGGACAACGCAATATTCTGCTGAACACATGTATTCAGCTGAATTCTATAGCAGCAACTTGAAGTCGCCAGCCTTTCATTTTCTTCATGGTTTACGACCACTGCTATTTCATGCTTGATCTGTGCTTCTGGAACTCATTCCAGAATTGCATGGCCTGCAAAAGTGAGTATTACATTTTACGTTTTGGCGCTTATCTGTGCTTTTAACCTTGCTTCACAACTACAGACTACATCACCGGTTCCATAATGGTCACTCCAATCTCTAGCCTCAGAGCCACTGCGTCTATCACCTCCGTTCAGCCCTCAAGTCAAACCACGGAATCAGCCACTAAAAAATTCGCCATCCCCAGTCTTGCCAATCTACACAACTCAACGTTCGCTCAAGGATTCAGCAATAATGAACGTCAAGCGGCCGCCAGGGCTTTACTGAGACACGACGTTCACATTGACGGGACACACTATCAGGCTAGACTGCCTGGTGGCCTTCACCCGTCGTACTTTGCCTTTAGCAGCACTGCTAAACGAACCAGTGAAAAATCCCTTACCCACGAGGAGCTTCTGGAGGCATCACTGCAAGACGTCTTCGACGCCGTGAGTCATTCAAGTCAGTGTCCGCATCTTATTTATGTCTCACTTGTTTCCCAGCTGAGTATGCAAGATCGCCTTGATGGTGGAATTTCTGTCCTCATTCGATGCGCTGGGTCTGAAGCAGTCTCTTCACCCGAAAACCTCCCTGTTGACCTCTACATTACGCCCCGCGAACTACAAGAAACTCCCGAGCGAATTGGCGGAGACCTTGCCGTCTGGGTGCAGGTATTTGCCCAGGAGTTTGCAATGCCACACCTCGAGCGGTTCAATCAACGTTGTGTCATCGAAAACATCCAACCGCCACCATGCTGTAAGTAGTAGATCATTTTCGGCTTCACTGTTCACACAACTGACTCAAATTCAACAGTTTCTGCGGCTCATATCAATGTCAAGGGCCCACAGTATCTACCTGGCCCAGTGGTTGCTACTGGAGCGCATATACAATGTTCTGCTCAACCGGCCCATACCTTCACGCAAGAATTGAAAGCAACTGCGGTGCACGATGCTCCTTCTGCAGCTATCCGCGGGGGTGCAGAAATGAGCGAAGGTATTGGCGAGAACATTTCGCCACAGCTGACCACCCAACACACACGAGTTCGCCGATGCAGGCACGCGGAAATTTTCACACCCGGCAAGGTAACTAATGATGGCCCAATTTTTTCGGTACCAAGACTGGAGCAGGATACTGCATGTGGACCGCCACTCATTAGTATTGGACCGAATACTGACGCCGCTCTGGATTGGATTAAGTTGGGGGATGAAGTTTTACCTAAGCTCCGTGTTCTAGTTCAAACTGTGCGTAGCAGCCGATGGGAGGCAGTGTTCAGGTCTCCAAAATGGGATCTCTCGTACGAACATGCTTCCATTCTGTCTAGGGCGCTCCTGGCTGACCTTCAGGGCATGCCACGTAGCCCTGATGTTGTAAAGGTCAGTGATATTATTTTGGCTGCTGCTGTCATACTAACTCAATTGAATGTCCATAGCAGCCGTCATCTATCCTCATGTCCATTTTGAAGCTTATTGGTATATTGATTTTCTTATGCGGCCTATACTTTTTCGGCATCTTATTATTTTGGCTGTAGATCACTTTCCCCTTTTGAGTCTTAGTTATAAGCCATGTGTCCTGTTTTTTTGCCGTGGGTTAGAAAAAATAAATGCATTGGTGTGTATAAAATATTCGTATTCAACTACAAAGGCCCTTTGCTGATTTTTGCCATCCTTCTGTGGGTGATGGTCTCCCAGTCCTTCTATGCTGCGAAGCGCATTCAAGCACCACCTCGTAGTCGTCCTAAGGTCACCCTCAGCAAAGAAGCTCGCGCGGCACTCAAGTTTCAGCGAACCGAGAAGTCGCGTCAATTCAAGGATGCGCTTGATCTTGCATGGGGCCAAATTGACGATGTTACAACAACCATTGCTGCTACCCATCGCAAGAGCTTCCGTCGTGTACAGCACGATTTATACATGGGTCGGGGATCACTCCGTTCGAAGCATTCAAAGCCCAGCGTTTGGAACACATTTTTCTGGAAGAAATCTCAGGAAGCGAAGAAAGAGAACTGTAAGTCTGTTGATTTGTATCATATGCATTTTCATGACTCAATGTTGAATTAACAGGCAATGGCCACGGAAAGGAAGCACTCCAGTCACTGGTCCGCGACCACAAGGATGAATACCACGCTCTCACACAGGAAGAACAACAAGAGTTGCTCCAGGAATTCGCCGACCAGAAGGAGACCAAGGTCTCTGGGTTACGTGTCTCAACGAAGTCGAAGATCAACGACATCACTCAAACCCTGAAGGCGGTAGAAAACGAGGTACGCACCCTCGAATTGCAATACAATGTTACTAAGTGTCTCGTTACTAGCTCAATAGTTTAAATTCTCGCACTGGCGCTGAGGTCATGTTGTATATGACGCGCGGTACTACTGATCTACCTCTCCGTGCAATCACCTTCACAACGCCGGGTGTCAATCACTTTATGGACTCTGTCATCGGCATCGATACTCAGGACTTCCTCAGCAAGATGGAAGGTTTCGCTATCCAAGGGATACAAGGTACAGTTTTTCCGTTGTTATTACATTCTCAAGTTAATTTCTATTTGTACTAGGTGCCGCAAGCAACCATCAAAAAGAGGTCTCTAAGGTTCGCGGAGACATTCGAGCAATCATCACCCAGAAATTGAGTAAGTCTTTCCCATCTTTTGACAGCACAGAATTCATTTTATTCATAGGGAAGGTGACCGGAGAAAGCAATGCCAGGATGCAGTGGGCAGACTACTTTCGTAACGTGGTCAACCGCTATCAGGTCGCCATCAAAGGATGGCCGGAGCATATCCCATTCACAAACCTCAGCAGTGTGACCAACGCGCTTCCGGACCTCCATACTCTTTTAGACTGTTGGAAGTCGGGCGATACGAGGTGGGAAGTGTTGAATGACGAGGAACTCGAGCAACTCCGTCGCGAGTGCAATGAAAAAATTGACAGTGGTGACATTATCGAGTCCCGCCGCAGGACACGGTCCGACAAGGGTAAGAAGCGAGTACGACATGCGATAGCTGACCCCAGATGTAGCAAGAAGCACAAGAGTGCGGAGACCATTGAGTCCAGTGACGACGAAGATACCCAGAGTCATGGACGGACACCAGACGGTTCGGAGGATGTCAACACCACTCCGAACGCCAACTCGAACTCTAATACGACCGGGTGTACTGCTGGACGGACACCAGACGGTTCGGAGGATGTCAGCACCACTCCGAACGCCAACTCGAACTCTAATACAACTGGGTGTACTGCTGGACAGACACCAGATGGTTCAAAGGATGTCAGCACCACTCCGAACGCCAACTCGAACTCTAATACGACTAGGTGTACAGCTGGACAGACACCAGATGGTTCGGAGGATGTCAACACCACTCCAAACGCCAACTCGAACTCTAACACGAGTGGGTGTACTGCCGAGCACCCAGTAATGTCAATTCCCCCAGACTCAATCATCCTTTCCCCTTCGAGCAGCACCCCAGTACCATAACAATATCCCAGACTCAGCCATCCTGTCCCCTTTGAGCAATGTCCCTAGTTTCATTATTCCTGCGCTATAACTCATTTCTTGATGGAATCGCTCGTGATAGACTTAGTTTGTTTTTATAAAAGTGCAATGACATCTTAGTTTGATCTACAATATCACAGTGCAAGTAGAATATGACATAACCCAGTGCAATGAGGTGCGACAAACTACAAAGGGACAAAGGAGAACAACAAAGCTACAAAGGAGGGCGACGATGAAAGTACGAGGGAGGCGGGAAACGGCAGGTACGAAGGAGGGCAACGACAAAGGCACAAAGGAGGGCGACAACGAAAGCATGAGGGAGGCGGGAAACAGCAGATACGAAGGAGGGCAACGACGAAGGCACAAAGGAGGGCAACGACGAAAGCACGAGGGAGTTGGGAAATGGCAGGTACGAAGGACGACAACGATGAAGGCACAAAGGAGGGCAACGACGAAAGCACGAGGGAGTTGGGAAACGGCAGGTACGGACGACGACGACGACGAAGGTACGAAGGAGGTTGAGAAGGCACGAGGGAGGTGGGAAACGGCAGGAACGAAGGAGGTTGACGACGACGACAAAGGCGGAACAATGGGGGCACGATGGAGGCAGGGAACGGCAGGGACGATGAGCACAGTGATGAGGAGAGCTAGGAAGCGTGAGAAGGGCCCCTTGGTTCGAATTAGGAAGCGTAGTAGGCGTTGCCGAGCGTGCCGAATTAAAATAGGAATATGACGCAATT